ATATATATATATATATATATATATATATATATATATATATATATAACTAATATATTATAAATATACATTATTAATAATATATTAATTAATTAATATATACATTAATGTATATATTAATATGTATACATATGCAAGATAGTCAAATCTGCAAAAGTAGATTTTGCACTGCTGAAAACTCTGTAAGCTGTTAGTTTTTCAGAAATTATTACCTACTAGTACATAATACCTATTTGTTATTTTCGTGTATGTTACTTTTGTACTGTTTGCATTTTTTGCATTTTACACACTTGCACTGCTCACACTACTTACACTAACTCCAGTGCGGCCAGTTCAGTGAACTCGTGCACTGAGTTCTGCTGCACTGGAATAAAAAACAGTTTTGCTGAAATCAGTTTGGGAATAGAAAACGCTTCAGTGTACACTTTTGACACTAGTTTAGGCATCAGTGCAGGAATGAAAAATAAACCTAACAATTAAAAATATGTGCATGTTAATCTTAAGGAATATGTATAAAAAATACCAAATCTAGCTGTCAAAATCTTAGTTTTCCAATGATTAATCGCGCAAGCATTTAGATAATATTTCAATGTGTACATAGTGCTAATTTCATTAAATTCTCAAGAAAATCATTTTATGGTATGGCTACTTTAAATCATTTGGAATACTTCTTTATCTAACTGTTAATAGCATAGCACGGTGGTTGTCAATATCTTATGACAATCTTGCAAGTAATAGTTATCAGAGAAATCTCTTACAATTCTCTTTTTGTTAATACATATTTTCCATGATAGGAGCAATCGTAGCCAAAGGAAGGAAAGGCAGAATTTAGATGGTAGCGAAATGGCTCCGTTTCAAACTACTGTGAACGTAAGAGGAGACAGTGCGGATAATTTGGGTCAAGAGGTGATTGAAGTGCAGATATTGCCACAGGACGAGAATTGGGGTGAAAACACTACAGCTGTAACTGGCAATACTTCAGACAGATCGGAGTCAACGGAGGATGTGAGCCATTGGCCGAATGAAAGCGACAGCACATTCGGCTCGAGCTGCAGTCGCTATGTCGGCCCGATCGTAGCAATGATACTTGGAATAAGCGCCTTCCTTAGTCCTATAGCTATGGTTATTTTGCCTAAGCTAGGATTCTTTCCCGACCCGACGACAATATTGACGATGCAACAGAGACTGCAATTGTTATCGTGCAATGCAGAATGCAAAGGTCAGCTGCTGGGGTTAGCTTTCAAATTGGTGCTGCTAGGTATCGGCAGCTGGGCAGTATTCCTGCGTCCACGAGCGGCTACCATGCCGCGCGTATTTTTATTCAGGACGGGAGTGCTGTTGCTCACTACACTGTGCATTTGTACTTATTGGCTTTTTTACGTTGTACAGGTTTGTGCAGTAACTAGCAGATATAATTTATTCACAGGGTTGGGTAATGATTTAATAAAAAAAGATTTAATTAGTTAAAAATTAATATATAAAAAATAAACAATTTTTAACTCAAATAAGTCTATTTTAAATGAGTCGAGTTTTAAACAAGTAATTTTTAAATGTATAAACTTGTTACTGTTATGTTTTAATTTATTACTGTTTTCGTATAAGTTAAAATAATTCATGAATACTAAAATCATTACTAGCTACTTACAATACACAATAAGAAAAATCAAAAGCAATGCAAGCAGCATTTTTAGTCTTTGAACATTAGTGTTTTTTCTTGTATGCCTATAACCTAAAAATAATCGGTATTATATTAGATCTCTTCATTATTTTACATAAATTTAATCTACGTTTAAGAAGTTATTTATATAAAAAAATATATACAAGAAAAAAAAATGTATATATATATATATATATATATATATATATATATATATATATATATATATATGTATGTATGTATGTATGTATGTATGTATGTCCCACTTTACTCTGCGATTCAAAATAATCTGCTCATTATAAAAACATTTCAGAAAGAAAAGAAGATTACAAGATTTTGAGAACTAAAAAGATTATATGTTTAACCTTGAAAAGCCTCCTCCAGGTCAAATTTAATTTTTTAAATACATTTATGTGTATATTGTTTTTTTTAATATAAATTATTATACTTTATAAAATTCATTTATTTATATTTATATTTTTTTATTATTTATATTTTATTATTTATTTTATTATTTTTTATATTTTTTATCTTAATATTTTTTAATACAAAACATGAAATATCTCGTAAACTAGAGCTCGGCACGCGTTGCACATTTTAGCCGATTTTCGATTTTCGTCTCGTCTATTCCCCTTATCTCATCACCCCGCGCGCAACTTATGAGCCACTCGAGACTTAATGCCGATTGTTCTAATTTCTTAGTAAGTTACCTGACAGTTAAGTCATGTGTCTATCTGTCTAATTTGAAGAAGAAACGAAGACAGACATTTAACTGTCAGGTAGCTTACCAAGAAGTTGGAACAATCGGCCCTTAGGAGCATATAACTTGTATTGCATATAACATATGTTTCTAATAGCGGAAAGCTATAAGTGGAGTAAGTCGGAAATCGATCAAAATATGCAACGCGAGCTTTGTCGTAAATTATTCATTTTTCGATAACTTTATCTTAATACTTTTATAAGTAAAATGACAGACGAAATCGATTATTGTAAAAGAAAAGAAAAACATTAAGGCTCCTGGGTACTCGGCGCGGAACTTTGAATTGGTGATATGATGATCAGAACTGGTGGTCAGAAACAAGTAAACGCATATTCAAAATTCTTACATATTATTTCCAAATAAAAGACTTGTATGAAAGAATACTTGTAACTACACTTAAGCATATTAAGGAAAATGTTTCGGAAGCTATCCTTTTCTTTTGATAGTCAATAAATAGCTCTAAAATTTACGTGACATGCAACTGTCCTCTTTAATTTATCCTTCTTTATGATTCTGCCACGTTCATTTTGTGATTTATCGATTATCAGGGAAAAATGATTGTTTTTAAAACATTTTATAAGTATGCCGAAGCGATTTAGTGTTTTTTCATATAAATATCTTTTATTTGCATCTTTTTATTTTAAATATCATATAAGAATTCTCAATGTCATTTCTCACTTTTGATGTCAATATATCACGAGTACCTAGGCGAGTACCTAGGAACTTCAAACAAAATTCCATTGTATTTTGCAGATTCGCTTATGCACCAGTGTACAAATTTCAGTATTGTCGATTGATTTTTCTCATCATTGTATATACAAAAGTATAATATAGGTGAAATTCTTAAAAAATGAATAGTTTATACGTTAACAAGAAACGTTTAATTTCATACTTTTAACTTAACTAAGTTAATTGTATAAGCTATTAACTTTAAACTTGGTTGAAAAAAAATTAATTTACCCAACTCTTTTTATTAATTTATTTTTACGAATATAAAGTGTTTGTATTTTATTTTCTCACACAGGTCACCGAGAGTGCTAAGACTGCTGCCAATGGCGAAATAACAGAGTACAAAAGTTTAGTAAATTATGCGGGTACACTTGCCGATACGCTGTTGTTTATACACTATGTCGCTGTGCTGCTTATTGAAGTTCGTCATTTACAGCCTACATTTTATCTTAAGGTATATAATTCTTAGATCGAGAGCATGCAGACAAATGTAAGCAGTAAAACTTAAGTGGTAAGCAAATTGATCAATCACAGTTTATGATTCTCGTTGCAGTCCAAGAATAATCGATTGTGATTAATTAATTTTTTTATTGCTTAAGTTTTATTGCTTACGTTTTCATGTATATCGTAGTTTTTACAGCAGTTTTTACAGCCCGGACATAGTGTACTCTCTGAGTTACATTTTCATTAATATCATTGCAGGTGGTCAGATCACCGGATGGTGAATCAAGATCTTACGCGATCGGTCAATTATCGATACAGAGAGCGGCCGTATGGGTCTTGGAGAGGTATTACACCGAGTTTCCGATTTATAATCCGTATTTAGAAAGACTGCCAGTCTCGAAGTCTGGTAGAAAACAGTCGAGCTTCAAATTCTATGAAGTTGACGGTGGAGTGACTAGCACCATGCAGCCACGCGGTGGTAGTGGCGACAGAGCGGTGCTGGCAGCTCAAGCGCGTCGTCGAGACTCCAGTCACAATGAACGCTTCTACGAGGAACATGATTACGAGCGACGAGTACGGAAACGCCGAGCGAGATTAATCACTGCCGCTGAAGAGGCCTTCGCGCACATTAAGCGCTTGCACTCGGAAGTAGAATCCACTCCGAATCCTGGGCCAATGGACCCCATGGAAGCTGCGCAAGCTGTGTTCCCTTCTATGGCGAGAGCTCTGCAAAAGTACTTGCGAGTCACCCGGCAACAACCACGTCACTCCGTAGAATCCATTCTAAATCGTCTTGCTCGTTGTTTGGCCCAGGATGCAGCACCGCGCGCTTTCTTAGAACCGTTCTTTAGCACGAGTCCGGTGCTATCGAATGAAAAAGAGAGACAAAAGCGATCGCATCATTGGGCCTTGGTGTGCGAGGGAGAGTTACCCTCGCGTCAGATTGCTAATGGTTGTGAATTTCAGTTGAGACAAGGTGAGGTTGCGCTCCTATGTACTGCGCATCGATTACCGCACTTTAATCTCACGGAACAATTGGCGCATCCTAAATCGAATAAGTTTTTACTGCGACTGAATTCGGAAACCTCAGTCTAAAGTTTTCTGCTTACTGAGAACATAAATTGTTATAAAACGGTATAAATAGCATTTAGACATTTCTCGACGAAATAGACTGAAAGAAACATAACGGTTGAACAATAACTCAACAATGTTTTTAACATTGTTTTTGATGTCATTTAGTTTCTTTTAAGAAAAACAAGATTAACAAGATGTTAACAACATTAATATTAATTCGAATATACTTTTGACCAATTATTATGAGTTAATAATTAATTTGTATTTTAACGGAAAATACTCTGTTCTTTTGATCTTGTGACACATATATACGCATATTTATTTATTCCATTATACTGCATATCATGAAACGTATTGAGTGTGGCATTTAATATAACAATCGCAAATACTTTAAAGAAAATGTATAGAAAACTCTATGACAAAATAATTCATAAATAATAAATAGTAAATCATAAATAATAAAAGTTTTTAATGAGAAATCATTTAACTATCTATATTGCATTAATTTGAAGACGTTTCGACAATAATTACAAGAATGTGCAATAAAATGTGCAATAAAAAATAGGAAATCCCTATTAAGAAAAATTCAAAGCAACTTTGACATTTAACGTCTCCATTCTCTAAGTCAGATCAACATTCGTGTATCACGATACTGTAATTCTAAGTTTTTTTGTCTGAAACAAGTTATCCATACAAAGCATTTCTTGGGAAATATTTGTGACCGTCATACTAAATGCTTTAACATTTGTATACATAAAAGTATATATACACTTTAAATATATTTAAATGCAAAAGTTTAAAGCGTATATATGCAGGTATGTCTCTTTTGAGACAAAATATATTTAGGCAAAAGAGCGCAGATAATATTCTTACCGATACATTTACATTAATTAGTATGCATTCCCGTATATAATTATATTTGTAGTATCATACTTATGTGACAGAATATGTTTTAAGCATATAAATTTATATGTATGTGTTCATATATGCTTATGCGCACATATAACAGCACACGCACAAAAACACAATTCATAAATCTTATATTTTACTATCAAAAGGAATCTGGAACTCATATCTCTCATTATATTGTGTTTTGCAATACAACGGTACGCACAGTGAATACTCGATAATAATGCTTTTAATTTTGATGTTATATTTTAATATTTTTTTCTTGTATATCATTTTTATATTTTTACTTTGATATATGATTTTTACTAGGTGTATGATCGAACAATTAATGGTAGAAAATTTTGATATATATACACATTTCTATTAAATTAATTTCTTTTAACTTATCTTTTAACTTTTGTATTACTATATTAAGTATTTTTGCGTTATGATTAAATAAGAATTAAACTTTATTGGTAAATTGTATATCCATACCACACATTATGTATGTCAAGTTATTTTCTTTGTTTATTCTCTTAAATGCCTTGAGCAATATAATAGAAGTAATTTAGCATGAAATTAAAATCAGTTTTTGTACACTATTTAATTTCTTCTTATCAACTATTTTTATTGCATAGGAGTCTTCCTCTATAATTTTCCGCAATCTCAATTAGCACAGACATTTATGAATAAATTATGAAAACAACTCCAAACATAACATGATTAATTAAATCGGATTATACGTAATATTATAATTTTTAATCATCGATCGTTACAATTTTTAACTTAAGGCTTCTGAATACTCGCCGCGATAAATAACCGCAAAATTAGTATGACAAAATTATGATAAAACGTAGAGTAAAAAGGAAGCTTGCATGTCACGTTAATTTTATTGATTCATTGGTTGTTGAAGAAAGGAAAAAATGTTTGAAGTTCAGAAATATGTTTGATTATCATATTTTGGATATATTTTTTTATTTTCAAATACTTTGCAGGAATTTTAAGCATGCATTTTCTCGCTTTTAACGTCATCAATCCGCGACAAGTACCTAAGAGCTTTAAATCCTATTAGTTATACATATCCTAGTATGTATTTAAATCAATTTGAGCACGTATTATATATTATTTAAACACTATACACACACACACTTGCCTATTCTGCGATACATGTATATAGTAAATAGAAATTTTATAATTGAATTATGACATGTATATATATTCGTATGTATACAAAATCTTTGGATAAATCGATGAAGGATTGCTTGAATTGAAAGCCTTGAATAGACAAGAGAAAAAGAAAAACGCGAAGTTTTTATATCAAAGTAATAAATATTGTTGAACTTCTCTGTCACATTTCAAGTTATATTATTGTCATTATAACAGAATTTACAAATGTCCAAGTGTGAACTCTACAACACACAAGCATCCCAAACATCGTACACTTTATAAACACATGACTTTGTGCTTGTGGAATTTCCCAGATAGCACAGAGAATTTAAAAAAATTCAAAAAAATTCTTTAGAGTTTAGTTCAGTGAAAAGAATTCTTTTTGCGTTTAAAAATGAACTTAGAATTGGTGACATACGACTGAATTCTTTTTGAATTTTCTGTGCTGAGTTTTTTTTATTGACGTCATAGATACTTCGCTATGTTCGTAAACCATGTTTGTGAAATCATCTGGGCTTTTTAAACTACGCCGATTTGCAAAAGCTCTCGACTTAAAAAATATTGAAGCTTGAGAATATCGAGTATTTTATTTATATTTTGAGATTATTATTATAAGTATGCAACTTCGCCGATGTGAGTAGCTTTTGCTATGAATGTTCTTTTTAATTTTTTTTTTAATTTATGTGTGCTCGTGATGACTGTGTATTATTTGACAAATGAAATACATTTGATGTATAAAAAGTATTTCTTATTCTTATATATAAAAAAATTTTTTATCCGAAAAATCTATAACATAATTCCTCTAATTTTTAGATATTATAAAATGAAAAATGACAAAGAAATATTTTATTAAAATCTTCAATATTTATCCATATCCTTCCATTTAAGGAAGGATATTGTTTAATTAAAGAGGAAAGGATCCAAAAATCAATTTTTATTATATTTCTTGAAAATATATATTTTTAAAAATTTATTTCCACAAATCTACATAAAAAATTCAGAAAATTACGGAAATTACAATTATTCGAAGCGACGCACAGGTCAAAATCGAAACGCTCACCGCATTTTTCTAAAGATCTTTCTCTCTCTCTCTCTCAGTATTGGTTCCCGGAGCCCTTACGAGTTAGTTCCTAAACACCATTTTCCGATTTTTCTAAAGATGCTTTGAGTGTTCACTAGAGATGCCCGATTCTTGGATGCGTTCAGATTCCCTACCTGAGTGCACTCTAATACTAGAAGTGCTATAGTATATGTGACATATACTATAGTGTTTCTAGTAATAGAATGCACCTGGATGAGGAATCTGAACGCAACCCTTAATCGATTCGATTCTTTCCCTAACAAATTTAGGGAAAAAGGGTTGTTCGTGCTGCTTGCATGTTTCATACTTTGCTTTTAAAAGAGATGGACACCTAATCAGACGCTTGGAAAAAACAAATGAGTTGATTGTCTCGTTTTTGCTTCTTCGAAACATTCCAATATACTTCGGTCTAGTTTTAAATACGAAAAGTGCGAAGAGTGCAAACAACACGAATAAACCTATTTTTGGGGAAAGAATCGAATTGATTCAGAATCGGGCATCTCTAGTGTTCACTTTCTTTTACAGAAAATTATTATTGGTAATTACTAAAGAAATAATAATGATTAATCACTTTTCAGTAACTCAGTGATTATTTGGTTCAGTAATTATTGGGTGCTTTCCAATTGCTTAACACATCTTGGGTGTTTCCCATAATATCTCTCCAAGTCATTTCCCTAGAGCAGAAATAAGTTACAGACATCACCATCTTCTCAAGGCTTATGTTGCAACCACCAATCAGAAGATTATTACTTCTTTCAGTCTTGAAGAATTTCGGCATGCTATTACTTCTCTTAATAAAAAATCTTCCTCAGGGTCGGACTTAATATCTAATAATCATCTCTGAACTTCCTGATCTTGGGATACAGTTACTTCGTAAAATCTTTAATAAATTCTTCAATTTTGGTTATTTTCCAGATTCTTGGATCGAATACTATATGATTTTCCTTCTTAAATCTAAAGCGTCTTCTACAATGGCAGCAGGAGTAGTAGTAAGAAATAAGCAGTAAGCAAATTGACCAATTCCATTCTCACGTTTCAAAAATAATCGATTGTGATTGGTCTATTTACTTACTGCTTATTTCTTACTACTACTCCTACTGCCATTGTAGAAGACGCTTAACTCGTCAAATTGCAATGTCTAATAGACCGGTATTCATAGTCAGATCTTATATTTAAGATTGCTTAAGTTCATCTTTAGATACTCCGTAGCCAATGAAATAACCCTTACATCATCTGAAGATAAACTTAAGCGGTCTTAAATATAAGATTCGACTATGAATATCGGCCATAGTCTACTTAAGTTATTCGAAATGTTAGTTTTTAATCATCTTATTTGGTGATTTGAACAAAATAGATTTGTTGCAAAATACTTATTTCTGCTCTAGGGAAATGACTCGCCCTTATAGAAATATCATACTAAGAAATATTGAAAAATTATTAGTGATTAAATATTACCAGTAATTCAATAATTTTTTGGCCAGTACTTAATTTCTGGTCAATACTGATAATAAAATCACTGTTAAATATTGATAGTAATCAAATACTGATAATTATTATGCGAAGGTGAAACATGAGAAAATCATAATGTTTACAAAAATATACTTATATTCCTAATTTTCTCATGTCTCATAAACTACTAAATATCGAAGGTTGTCACATTCCTAAATTTCATGAATCCTCCTGCGATAATTTCGATCCCAAGCGGTATAAAACCACTGGTCACTATCCATGTCCTAACCGCATTGCTTAACCTGACCCGAAACTGTTGCTTAACCTGACGAACGGCGCACACGCAGTGACTCTGATGATTCCAACGATGTTCTTACAATTCATGCTTATATACCCAGATAGCCAAACCTGTGCGAGCAAATTTTACGCAGAGTCTGTCAACAGTATCTGTTGACAGAATGGCAACAGACTGCACACAGAAACTGTTTTAGCAGTCTCTGACGACAGATTGGTGACAGACTGCGCGCAGAACCTTTCGACAGATTCTGACGACAGACTGACGGCAGATTGCGCGCAGATTCTGTTTCCTAGATAGGCTATTTAATTCTATTAAGGGCCATATGTACGTTATTAAATGGGGCAGTTTCACATACACACCATGCTGCAGAGAAGTCAAGATAATTATATTGTGCAATAATTGTACACATATACACAATAAAAAACAATGTTTATATTTTAAAATTGTATTACACATTTTTTATAAAAAAACAACAATAATAGAGAAATAACGAGTACAAGTATAGAATAGTACAACGGTTAAATGGCCATTTAAAGGCGTACACATGTCATTCCTGGTAAAAATTGTTCTCATAATTTTTCATACAATTTCTCATCTTATTATTTTTTTTAATGTTGTTATGTCATTAAATCCGATTTAACCGTCATGCAATAAGTACTGAAGGCAGCAGCACCGAATAAAATATTAGACTCGCTATATAAATAACTTTTACAGAATTTTTTTGATGATTTATTTAAAAATATATCATGCTTCGATTTTGATAAAACTTAATACAATCTGAACGGGACGATCGACCAAATTAATTCGCACATGTAAAAGTACAGTATTTTATTAACATGATAGAAAAATGTCATTATCTGCTGTTTTATTGCAGTAATTTTCTATACATTCCTTGGTAGAAAATTAATTTCGAATTATCGTACCAGTCTCTCTTACATTATTTATACGCTAAACGGTTTCGTCTATATTTTGCGGCTTAAAAGGCGAACAAACTATAATATTTTTCTTCCTTAAACTTTAAATGGGCAATACAAAGCGATTTTTATCAAGTGAGGAATTGGTGTAGTGTCTAAGGCGACGGACAATTATCCAAAAGATGTCTTCGGTTCAAGTTCGAATCTCACCAGAGAAAATCTTAAAAATTATGAAAAAATAATATAGAAAAACTTTTTTTGTCATAGTATTTTATGAGTATTTATGAGAAAGCGCTTATTCTATGAGTAATTATGAAAAATTATGAGAAAATTTAATTGAAGAACCTACGAAACGACAGGATCTGCGCGCAATCTGCAGCCAATCTGCCGTCATAGTCTGTCGACAGGCTCTGCGCGCAATCTGCCGCCAGTCTGTCGTCAGAGTCTGTTCGCAGACCCTGTCAACAGTCTGGTGGCAGATTGGGGACGCAGATGTCTATGGATCTGTCGACAGATCCTGCTCG